ATGGTGAACTGCTTTGCATTGATTGATTGCATTCCTAGTATAAACCTCGCTTGATTATGTGTATGTTTTTTTATACATCATTAGATTTTATTTGTTAAAATTTTTTTTTAAAGATTCATTCATTTGTGCAAACAAGAACCAGGGTATAGGCCAGAGGTGTGGGTATGTGTGGGTGAGAGGATTCACCAGAGACAGTGGGGTGCAGAACAGGTGGATATACTGAAATACACTGCTGAGGGGAAGCAGTGAGTGAGACAGGAGAGGTCTACTGTGCCATGTGGGTCAGCTCCCTGGCCAGGGATCCAATTGGGGTGCAGTGGCTGCTGACAGCTTCACAGTACTGAGACTTTACCCTTTGTGCCACCAGGGAGGCCCTGTTAAATTTTTGAATCCTAGAGCTTTTAATACTCTGAGTTTCACCATATTTGTTATTAATGTACAAACTCTCCTTACCATCAATTCCTAAGTATCCAGTATCCATGCAGAGGAAAATGGTCTTTTTAGGGGATCTCAGAGGCACCAGGAAGATCTGTTTAAACTCTTCCTCCTCCACCCTCTTCCTTCCCTGCACCATCATTATCATTTATTAAGCACTTACTATGTGTCCAGTACTCTGCCAAGGTTTACATATATTTAAGCCTCATAATAATCCTGTGAGTGATCTACGATTAACTCATTTTTCAGATGATGTAGGAGGCTGATTAACTGCTTCAAAGTCAAAGAATGATGAGCAAAATCTGGATTAAAATATAGATCTATTTAACTCCAGAGGATGTGCCCCTAACTGCAAAGCCATGCTGTTTGCCTTAAAGGATTTACAATGGGGCACAAGATCAAGGAACAATGAACCAGTTATATGGATCTAAGATAAGCCTGTATTTACATAAAGTGATAGGACTAGGGTTTAGAGGTTCCTAAAGTGGGGTCCATAGACCCCTGAGAGTCTAAAAATAGATTTTGGAGGATTTATAAGCCCCTCAAAGAGGATTGATTTTTTTTTTAATTCTTAAAGGACCGAGTAGTAACTATAATCAGCTTTGCAGGCCATGCAGTCTCTGTTGTAAATATGCATCTCTACTGTTGTAGCACCCACAGTCACACACAACACACATGAGTGGGCAAGGCTGTGCTCCAACAGTACTTTATTTACAAAAACTGGCAGCTAGCCATCAGGCTTAAAATGGTATGTAAACTCTATGTTCATAGTTTTTTTGCTGTTATTAGGAGATCCATAGATTTCCATAACTTCTCAAATAGTTTTAAAATCCAAAATGTTGAGGAACTGGTATAAATGGCCTCCAAAGGCCCTGTCTGCTTAGACAGCCCAAGATCTATAAATGTAGGTATCTTTGAAATTAACACTCTTAGAGAATCTTTCTCCTTAGCAAGTTCATTTGAGGGATTATCCTATGAACACTTAAATGGACTATGATTTGTCTGTTGAGAAGGAGACATAAGACATATTACTATTTCAGGGCCTTCCTGGTGGCCTAGGGGTTAAGTCTCAGAGCTACCATCCTTGTGGCCTGAGTTAGCTCCCTAGCCAGGGAGCTGAGCTGCATGGCGCAGCAGACTTCTAACTTGCCTACCGCTCCCCTCAGCAGTGTATTTCAGTCAATCTGCCTGTTTTGCTCCCCACTCTGTCTCTGGTGAATCCTCTCAACTCCTCCCCCCATACCCCGCCCTGCACCTCTGGCCTACACCCCAGTTCTTCAATGAAAAAATAAATTAAAAATTAAAAATCTTACAATAAAGGAATTTTTTTTTCTTTTTTTAAAAAAAGACATATTACCATTTCAGCCTTCCTTGGCTTACCTGGCCAGTGATACAAACTGAAACACAAATACCTTCTAGAAGGGAATAGAGGAGCACAGACCCGCAGCAGCTGGTCTGAAGTTTGCCCAGGTTTTTTCCTCTTCCACTTTCCAGACATGGCTTTCTGTATTCTACTCTGGCTTCTCCACAGAAAGCACACATCCTGAGCACAGCCTGGATGCCTGAAGTGAGTCAGATCTGTTCAGGTGTGTTGTCGATGGAGGGACATCGTCAGATGTGTCTTCCTGATGCATGTCAGCTTCTGTTTGGGGACCCTTTTCTCTCCCAAGAAAACACAGTTCTTTCTCTTAGGAGTTCTCAGTTTCATAAGCTAGAGCATCTTATTTATTGTTTGCAATTAGACCGACAAGTACCTTTACCCTGCCTTCTACTCCATGGATTTTGTCTTCCCCTAACTAGAAGCTTTAGATGGAGGCTGCTGATTGTAGCCCATTGTATCCACATCAGAGCCAGGAACCATGCTTTGCATATAATTTTTAGGCTATTAGCTCTGAGATTCCTAGAAGCTATAACCAGTTTTAAAAACCTGCATCACCTTTCAAAATCAAAATAATGGTTGTTCAATCAGTTTGAATAAAAGACAGGATCAGTTCCTTTAAATTATAGGAAAAAAGACATTAAAACAAGGAAGTACAAATACTCTGAAATCTGAGACTGGATAATTGAACATATGCGAAGAAGCTGGAGGGAAAAATAGGAAAGGAGAAAGAAAGAAGAGAGGAGAATGAAACAAAGGGATGAAAGGGACAAGGAGGAGCACAGAAGCAGAGGAAGTCTGCGTGCTAACTAAGGACTGCAGGGTTGAAATTCAGCATCATTAGGAAGCAGCTATTTCTCACAGCAAGTGCCCCCCAAAGAAGGAAATAAACCAGCAAATGAAAATAACAGGAATATAAATCATTTAGCCAGTACTTATGGAGACTTTATTCCATATTAGACTCCTGTATATATCACATCAGGATTAGTGTTAGCTCCCTGAAATGAAACATCAATAAGAGGACCACATGATGCTGACTGTACCTCCAACTCATATTTTAGTTCAGCTTTAATTATCATGTTCATCTGGCAGCAGCGTGGTGCCACGTAAATAGAAATGGGTCATGGGAGGCCTGGGTTCTTGTCCTGGCTTATCATTATGTGACCTTGGTTGGCCAATCTCTGTGTTTGATTTCCTCATTTGTCAAATGTGAATAAATATTCCCTGGTCTATATGTTTCACAAGAGTGTTGGGAGAATGGAAAGTGACATAAACACACAAACACATATAGACACACACACACACTTGGATGAGTATAAAATATCAGATAAATGTGAAATCGACCTTGTTCTTTTTACTTAAGGTGGTGGGTAGGCGGGGGTGGGGGGGGTGGGAACAATGGCATTTTGCACAGAAGGCTTGGTGACTCAATGAAGCGTCTTTTTTCCCCCCTCAGTAATATCTGGTCTGGGATTATTGCAGCTTTCTCAACGTTTTCAGACATACTTTTCCCCTTCAGAAATGCCAAAGGTGAAAAATACTATTCCACTGCTATCATTTGTCACCCTTGCTGCCTGAGTAAGACATGCATTGACAGTTTAGTAATTAAGCTTTTCAACACTGCATCATAAAGTTTTATTTCTGCAAAGACTATATTTATCAGCTAACAAGTATTAAATCACCCCACTGCTCAAGCCGTTTCTCACTTAAATATGTTACCTTCAAAATAGAGCAGCTTTCCTTGGCTGGCTTGATTAATAAAAGTTTTTGTTTGGAAATATTATGGTGTTGTGTGGTCCTGTAAGTCTGACGTACACACACCGTGGAAACTGTTCCAAATGGCACTGACCCCTATTTCCTGGGGAAGGGAGGGCTTGATTGATACCTTGGCTCTGTGGCCTGTCCATCAGAGTTCCATGGCCCTCTGGGATGGTTTCCAGCTCAAGATATTCCCACAACCACTTCATTTCTAAAGTGGAAGAGGTAAATAAAACACAAGCATTGATACATTTTCTTTCCTTATTTGAACATCAATGTATTGGTCTGTTCCTATCAAAGACAGATTCAAATGTAAAATGAGTTTTAAAACTGATTAAAATAACAAAGTGACAATGATTTGCATAATCATCCAGGTTGAGTCTTTTCTCATGTTGCCATAATCTTCTCAAAACAGGTGCAGAATTATCTGGGAAACACTGAGAATGAATAGCTATGAACAGATATTGAAAGATAGTAAAAGTAATTAAAGATATTAAAAGATATTAAAAGTAATGACCTAGAAGAGTCCTACCCCACCTTTATAAAGCATTCTTTCTCTCTCATCTTTGGAGGACATAAATTCATGAGACAAGTACAAAATTGTTAAAATTTCAAGATGCTTTTAATCAAACGGCTCCAAAACTATAATAGTTAAAACAAATAATATGTTGAATTATTTTTCTACCATATTTTAAGGATAACCAAAATAAAAATCAGTCTTAATCAAGTATGGGCCAACATGATGAAATTAATCTCAATATTTTCATCATATCATGCCAGAGATTACATTAATTTCTCTTGTCTTTTCTCTACTTTAGAAGACAAGTGATATTAACCACTTGTAGGTAGTTTAGTTTTTCATCAGTTGATTGTAAATACCTAAGCACTGTCTGCCTGTACCTGTGCATTTGTGTGTATGATAGTGAGCATATATAAGTGAAACTTTAGATGCTACCAAGATAAGAAGTCTTTTTGAAATTGAGAGGCTGCAACAATTTCTTTCCTTTCAAAATGACAAAATAAGTACTTAGCATTTATTTTTTAAATTAGCAAAGGTAACTTGTTATTTAGAAGGCTAGAGATCAACTTCTCCACAGCCAGCAAGTCACAGGGTTGTCATGGAAGTGTGCGTTTGATAGGCTGAACCATTAAGTTGGCAAATATTGAACTATTTTAAGTGCATCTATTTTCTGGTCCAGTAATTTTTTTTTGGTGTTAAGTTCATTAAACTTGTCAGAGTCTAAATTCTATAGCATTTAATGGAGAACACATAAAGGTAACAGTAAGAGCAACAGGAAATAGCAAAAGGTAGATACCAATATATTTTCTCAACTTTAATATTAAGTATTATGTGAAAGTAGAAAGTCAAGTTGAATCTAGCTATTTTCTGAAATTTGAGGAGAGATTTGTCAGTTAAGTTGCCTCCAAATTTGATAATTCTTATTCTTTATTTAGAACAAAAAGTTTGAAAAGGGTAATAAAGATTTTGGAACATGAACTATTAATTTGCATTTGACATAATTTTGAGAGAGATTTATTTGTTATTTAAGCACTACTTTTCCTCCAACAAGGAGTCATGGCAATTCAGAAAAGTGGCCAAAGGCATCAGGTACAAAAAACTTTTATTCTAGCGTGGAGTGTAACTATTGAAATTATAAAATTGATTTTACATTCCATATGAAAAATGACAATAAATGAAGAACAATTTTCCAGTAATTTCTCTCCACAAAACAAAATAATCAGTAACAAAAAATTATGAAGACAAAAACTCAAAATATAAGTAGAAAATAAGGATACAGGTATTAAATATGATTCTTTAATGCTTCCAGAATACATAGGGCAGAAGTGATACAGCCATCAAAGTTGGATTGAGTAAATCCATCACCTCCACACGCAAGGAAAGGTTTGAGATGCAGAGTCATTTGACCAGGATAATTGGCAACAGCATTTGTAACCTGAAAAAGTAAAACAAAAAAAGAATTACAACTGGTGATATGATGCTTGATTGTTGATATTGTTGATATGCTGGGGAAGGCTTCTGTACTGGAGAAATGAAGGTGTCTTACAACAAGTAATGAAAGACAACCAAATGTTACCCCTAAAATCCTCTTTGCCCAAATGCTTACGCTGACATTCTTAAATGTGTTTACATTTTTAGTTTTTTGATAAGATCATCAGAAGTATGTTAAACTTCAGAATAAGTAGATCCTGATGTGCTGAATTAGTTGAAAATACAATGATTTTTAAAAAAAGATTTATTTTTATTTATTTAGGTCTATAAGAACTGGGGTGTGGGCTGGAGGTGCGAGGGGGAGTTGGTGAGAGGATTCACCAGAGACAGAGTGGGGAGCAGAACAGGTGGATCTACCGAAGGGGAACAGTGGGCAAAACAGGAGAGGTCTGCTGTGCCATGTGGATTAGCTCCCCTGGCCAGGGATTCATTCAACTCATGGTGCAGTGGCTGCTGATAGCTTTATAGTGCTGAGATTTTAACCCCTGCGCCACCAGGGAGGCCCGATTTTTTTTTTTCATAATAGGGAAATGATGATCATGAAATCATTCCCCAATTTTTGAGTTACCTGCCTTGTGCCAGATGAATGAGGTGAATACAAAACAGACTTAAGAGCTATATCCTTTAAGGAGCTTCCAGTTCATTATGACTACTGGTAAATAATAAGGACTAACACAGGGCGAGGAAGAGGGTGCTTTAAGTACACTTGGGAAGCGGGGTCCACCCCAGCTACTAAGATGGAGAAAGTTTCAAAGGGGTGGTGGCTGGTCATTTCACTTCAGTGTGATAAATTTGATAATGACAAGATTGGGAGCTCCACAGAGAAGGAGCAGTACGTGTAAACACCCACAAACTATGGCAAAAGAGAGCAACGTGTTAGGAAACTGTGGGACAGATCAGTGTGTGTGAGTGTGTGTGTGTGTGTGTGTGTGTGTGTTGCAAAAGGGGGTTGCCTGGAGGGAGGGACATGGCCAAAAGACAAAATAAGAGCAATTGTAGTGTTTCAAAATTTAAAAACATAAACCTTATATATAAAAAGTCTACTGAAACATCAAATTTACTACTTATGAGCCAAAAAGGGGGGAATCAGCTAAAATCTGGGATTTACTTTATTTTGTAGGACCAGGTTCACAATATTTGAAGTAATATAAAAGGTACAGAAGTTATTTCTTAAAGAAAAACTGCCTCAAAGTTAGAATGGATGTCACTAATAAGTATTCATAGTCAGGAGAATGAGTCGAAGTGTAATATAATTATCTTGGACACTTGATATTTGGTTTGGCACTAAGCACCTCTGGCATTCACCATTCTGCTCTGTTTCTATGAGTTTGACTAGTTTAGATTCCACATACAAGTGAGATCATGTAGGATATATCTTTTCAGAGCCATTAATCTTGAAATCAGCAGAAAAAATCTTTGAGGGGTTAAAATAGACAGCACACAGGGCACAGTGAAACACAGACTTGGGTGTTCAATCAGAACCTTTAAACTCCTGGTTCCATGGAATTTTAACAGGGACAATTTGAATTATCAGTGAAGCACTAAGGGAGGAAGAACACTGCTAGGTTCCTATATATTAGCAACTTCAGAACATGACAAATGACAGTCTGAGAGTAAGGGATACTATAATATATATATACCTGAAACCCAGACAGAACTGGGAAGAAGCCTGGCAATTTGGGTAAGTAACTTTCTGGCTCGGAATAGGCCTCGAGATGCCAGCTATTAGTTTTCCTGCACTCACATTGAAGAACCAATTCTAATATGCATAAGGTATTAATTGCTAGTATTTCTTGAATGCTTACTGCATACCCAGTGCTTTACATGCACACCCCATTTAATTCACAAAGCAACCCCATGAGGTGATTATTCTCATTTTATAGATGAGAAAGTTGAGACACAGAAAGACTGTAATTTGCTCAAGGACAGAAAACTAGGAGGTGAATAAAGAAATGGAATTGAGCAGGCTGACTCCAGAACTCACATTTTCAACACTTTCAGAAACATTTCCTTAGAGACCTGATTTAGGTAAAACAAGTGTTTGATAGTCACTTAGTTTTATGCATCTTGAAAATACACATAAATAGAATAGAAAACTCATTTATACACATATATGTACACATATACATGCATTTATATGCACACAAACATGTACGTGTAATTTTAAAAACAAAGCAGAATGTTTGATAGTCACATAGCTTTATGAATCTGGAATTCACACAAATGGGATATTCACCTATATGCTTATATGTGTGTCTATCTATGCATAGTTTATGTACACTCATATATATCATCTCCATCATGGTAACATTTTGGCATATTTTGGTTGATGTCTCTGTGTAGATAAACAACTGCACTATTAAACATTATGCAAGTCTTAAGTAAAAGGGATCTTCAGGAAAAATGTTCTGCCCAGGGGTGAGCTGGTGTACTAGTGCTGTGTCATTTCATTTGATAAGTGGTAAATGTCAGATGTCAGAATACGAGACTGGAGAGCTGGGCCACTTCTCAGTCAGTCTGCAGCTTGAATGAAATCAATCTTGCTGCATATAGGTAGAATCACCCGTTTTGCAAATACCCAATAAGGAAATATGAAAACATGAAGTGTACATTGGCAAGCTCCTTCCCCACATGAATTAAAGAACCCTGCCGTGGAGAAGCACGCAACTGTCAAAGCCACAGTTTCCCACAATAACTCAGTCTTTGGCTACACTTGCAGTCACAGTGAGGAACCACAGTTCAATGACTTTGTTTAAGAGACATGTCAGTGCTGAAACCACCTCTTGGAGATTCAGGTTGCTTCAGTTCACAGGTGTGCCAGAGCTGGTCAGAGGAATCTCTTGCTTACAGAAGCTGAGGTTCCAGGTTCACAAATGCAATGTTTCTAGAAATTAGGTGATGAATGAATTGAATGGAGATTCAAAGCACAAAATAACATTTTATTCCAAAGCTATTTAAATCTATGTGAATGTATTTTGTTACTTCTCTCCATCTACTAAGTAAAATGCAAACTCCTTGGTCTCACATGGAAGGCCTTTCATAATCACATCTTATTGTCATCCAAACCTCATCTCTTGTCACTTCTCTCATTTTGCTACATGTCCTATCTACATTCAAACTAAGGTTCAAACACACCCTTCTTTGATGTGCTTCTGTGACTTTGAGCAAATCATTCTGTACAGTGATGTTATATTGTTCTTTCTCTTTCCTGCCAAATTAACTGCTCATCCTTCAAGGACCAGAACATATGTCACTTGCTCTGAGGTCCTCCTGCCCTGCCAGCCAGTGTGAGTTCCTTTTCAGGATGTTACTTGTATTTATTATGCTACTTGTTATTTTGCAACTATAATTATGTCCACACCTGCCTCTTTTCTTAGATTGCATGCTCCTAAGTCAGGATTGTGATTCACTAATCTTTGTATCTAAGACTGAGAACAATGCTTAGCCTATATTAAGGGTGCAATAAGTTTGTTGAGTTAAAAGAAAAAGGCAGAAAATTATACACACAGTTGCTCAAATGAAGGTCTTCACAGGAAACCATCTACATACACACAAAAAAAAATGTTACTGAGCAGCTCACATAGAGTTGGCAGAAGCTCAGATGGAAGAGCTATTGTATATAGAAGGCTCTCAACAAAGGGCTCACTTTCATTTCAACTGCTTGATGTGAACATCTCGTATGTCACATATTAAGCTGAACCACGTATTTCATATTTGCTGATTTTGTGTGTCAGAAATGGTAAAATAATGTCCATTTTTATAGGGTTCAACCCAACAGTTTCTTTGTTTCATGACTATGAATTACAAAAAAAATCACATAAAATAGTTCCTTTGGTGTGAGAATGAAGTTAAAGATGAAAAGAGAGAGGCAGACAAGTAGGGCATTGGGTATTTTCACATGATAGTTGATAATCAGCAAAGATATTCATTCAGTGACACACATGACAATGTGTGGTCTTCCTTCCACACTGATGCTGACAACTGAAACTTGTCCTTGGACAGCAGACATCTACCCACAAAGAACAATCGGGACTATAGAGCAGCTGTATTTTAGGTTGACCATATCTATCTGGACATCCAATCCATGATTTGGCTTCTTAAAGCTTATCTTCCTGATAGATGGTACTTGGTAATATTTACGTGGTTCTAGGGAAAGATCCAGGTCTTATAAGTTTTAATCCTAAACGTGCAATCGATTTGATGAGAGAACTTAGACAACCAGTGAACAATCAAGTTCTTGCTGCCATATTTCCTCAGGTGTTCTGGATGTAGATTATACTGCATTTCAGCAAATTGAAGGCACCATCAACTGGAAGAAATAGCAATGATAAAGGAAAAAAAAAAAAGGATGCCAATACGACACAAAACTTTAACTTACTAGAAAAGTTCTTACAGACTTATCTACATGTAGATCTTTTGGGGACATACAAAGGAAATAAAAGATGACTATGTTGGGTAAGGCTTTCCAAAGACTTCTTCACAACCAGTGTCTACTTTGAAGCACTCTTCAAAGCAGAGTTGTCAAGCTCCATTCTCTTCCCCATACAACCTGCCCTCTGCCCAGAACACTGGCAATGCAGCATTTCTTGTAAGAGTATTTCACTAAATTGTACTTTCTGGGATTTTCTTCTGAGCTTCTGACCTCTGTTCCGCAAGTTCTAATTCTGTACTTTCTGTTAAGTGAGAAAGAAAGGTTATCAGACAGATAGCAAACAGGACTCATTTTTTTTTCTGAAATGGTCCTTAAATAACTGTTAATTTAAATATCAAGGGGTTGTAGTGATGAGCCTGTTAGAATGCCAGCAATAATCAAGTTCAAACATGAAAACTACATCTTGGCTGTCCCCTGGTATATGCCAATATGATGGCATCTTAGCAAATGGATGAAATATGCCAGATAGTAAGTAGAGTAAGGGGAGAAATGCAGTTAATACTTCAGAGAAA